GTGTTGCTCACTGAACCAGGTTGAAAAGTTAGCCTGTGACTGGTACAAATTGTACATGAAGTGATCTGAAATAGGCAACTCTACCCTTTCAAGGAAGAACTAGATCAACTAAAAGCATTTTAAGTGAATTTCAAATGGAAGCTACAGAGAACAATAACATTGTTATCAGTGGGATCTGGAGGTGAGTAGCTGCAGTGGCAGGAGGGTCATAAAATCAGAGTTACAAGTGCACTGATGTTCCAAGGAAGCAAAATCTGAAGGAAAGAAAATGTATTGAGCAGAGAGACTGCAAAGATTTTTACTTAATGGAGAAAAAAAGGTTTTAAAGATCATGAGCTTAGTGGTTTCTATTTCTAATCCAAGTGTACCATACTCCTTTGTTATAAATGGAACAAAACAAAGGGCAAGAAACAGAGAAGAGCAAGTAAAGGCCACAGGAGATGTGTGAGGAAAGAGCCGTCACAGGGATGGTGCAGGAGAACACATTTCTAGAAACACAGAATCAGGATCTTTGAGTCACTGAAATGGCCAACACATTAGAGAGCCATGAAATCCACCAGCAGCCCTTCCTAAGCTCCTTGCCTGGTTTCACCTCCATTTCCTAACCCCAGAAGGATCCTCAGATCTTTGTCTTCTCTCTCAACACTCACTAACTTGTTGACCCTCTCCATTCTCATGCCTTCACCCACTATTTCTAAACTGATGTCTCCTACATTTTTATTCCCAGCCCCATCTCCAGAATCAACTCCACATTTCCACTTGCATGTCTAGTAGGAGTCCCAAGCACTGGATATCTCAAATCTGTCCTTCTTAGATTCTTTTCTGTCCCAGTAAATGAAAAATCCATTTGTGAAGTTACTCAGGCTGATGACCTTCGGGCCATCTGTAGTATTTCTCATTTCCTCATATCCTACATCGAATCTATCAGATTGTATTAAATCCAACCTTAGATCTTGATCTTAGTTTTGCATTTATCACTGACAACAATTAATATTTTCCCTTAAGTGCCCCTAATTTTGCTGCTTTTTTTTTTGTTGTTGTTGTTGTTATAAACTAAATTTGGGAGACTTAGATGAAAATAAACTCTCCAAAGAAGGAAGGGAGGGGAATAAACATGCATATCCATAGTGTCTGTTTTGTTACTAACACTCCTTTAGCATTGGCCACACGTGGACATGGCAATGTTTCCTAGACACACTTCCATCAGGGCCACTGAGGCTCACTCACCAGATCAACACTGACAAATATCATGTTCTTTATCAAGTCCTCAAAACCTGTTTCTGACCCAAAGTCTCTCCAGTAGAAATTGTTACAGTTAAGTGAAGTTTAGTAAAGCAAGGATATTGTCCAGTGCTGAAATAAATAGGCTGAAATTATTTATCCAGAACTCGCAAAGTTGTTCTTATTACTTAATCCTTCTAAAAAATATATCATGGATAACATTTGAAATTTGATGTGTATTTTGGGATTTTAGTATGTGTGGATATCACAAGGTTACACATGCTCAAATATTTAGAAAAAGTAGAGCTTATAAACAATATGTAGAAAGTAAAATATATAGTGTATTGTGATTTAGAATATGTATTTGTACATGTGCTTTGTGTACTTGTAAGTGCTTAAAAACATGTACAATGAACTTGAAACTCTGCTGATTGGAATAGAAGGGATTAAGGAATGAGGAAAGGAGAAAAAACACTTTCTTTTTGGACTTATTCAAGTGACAGCTTTGTTGACATACAATTCAACATAACATAAAATTAACCTTTAATGTGTATCATTAAGTGGTTTTTCATTTATTTACAGAGTCTTACTAGCACTACAAGTATGTAATCTAAGAACATTCCCACCGTCTCCAAGAGAAAATAGACACCCACCGGCAGCCACTCCCCATCCTTCCTGTCTACGGCGTTTGGCAGCCATTAATATTCTTACTATCCCTGTGGATTTACCTACTCTGGACATTTTCTATGAGCAAAATCTCTTCATGGACAAGGTTTGTCTATATTGTAGCAAGTATCATTACTTGGTAAAATCTCATTGTATAGATATACCACATTTATTTCTTCATCAGTTTTGATTATCTGTGTTGTTTCCACTTTTTGTCTATCATGAATAATGCTGCTATAAACATTTTCTTGTAAAATTACACTTACTTACTTTTTATTGTTTGTATAGAAATCCACGTAAAAACAAGGTATTTACTCTAAAACACATTAACTTTTAAAAAATGCAGTGAGAAATACAATTCACATTATGAATGTACTTTGAATTCACAATAGAACTTGCATCTATTTTCTTTATCTGTAGCTGATTCAAAGAACTCTTTTCAAAAAAAAAAAACTGCTTTCAAAATTAAATCCATTTGACAACTTATAGAGTAGTTCAGCCATTTACTGAGAGCATCCCTGCTGTTCTTACTACCAGACAGACCTAAAATAGCCTTGCCTTGATGGGATTCACTGAGTCCCAAAGTGACATCTCCCTGGGTTTTAATTGCCTTAATTATTCACCTATTCAATCTTCCTGTTTCTTTTTTTCCTACACAAATAGCAGTAATTTGTAGAGGAGTGTATCTTCTAAAAACCCAAAGATCTCATGATCTTTTAATATTTTGTTAACGTTTTTTTTTTTTTTTTTGCTATTTAAAACCTTTTATTTAAAACTTACTGAACTACTTAAAGCTTTAACGATACTTAAAAGGACATAAGTAGATGGTAAACTTAATTAGTGTTGGGATAAAATTTCTAAAATATGCACTGATTGGCACAATCATAACTGACAAGATGAAGATCTTACAGAGGATTAGGGATTGAAAAATCCATTAAAATGGCAGTTAGCATATTTAAAACCTCACAGTAAATAAATGTCCCAAGAGCCACCCCTTACTATGTCTAAACTGAATTGTGCATAATGGCATTAGTCATTTCTTCAAGTCCTTCCTTATTTGGTGTAGGTAGAATTCCATAATCCATCAATTCAATGACACTTTTTCCTGCTCTCCAGATTCCACCTCTCTCTATTGTTTTTTTGTCAACACAGGTGAATCTAACTCTCCCGGGCTGTACCTGCCCATCCAGCTGCACTGTGGAGGAAGTTAGACCAAGGGAAATGGGCTTTCTTCCACCACAGCCTCCAGGGGCCTCTCAACATGGCCAGGCAGCCCTCTTCGCTGTCTTCGGAGTTTTTAAAACTTCAGGAGATTTCTGAGACTTCTTTACTTGGTCTAACTGTGGCCACTCCTGTATTAGTTCTAAGAAGGACAGCAGAAGAACTGCACCATTTAAGGTAGACATTGAGTGGGGTGAGGGTGAAGGCTATGATGCTGTGAATCCTATAGAAGGGTGAGGCAGAGGGCCAAAGGCCAGCCTCTTCTGCAGACATCTGAGGTTCAACTGCTGACCGCATTGGTGGCTCTCAGTAAAACACACAGCCATTCTGACATCAATCTTCCTCAAATTCACAATCATATCATTATTCACTAAAGGTTGTTTTGAGAGTCAAAATAAAGTGTGTGTGAATATCTGATGAACATTAAAGCACTGTACAGGTAGCATTGTAAATGATGATGTAAAAATCTGTCAAAAAGTTAACCGTTCCATTAAAAAAAATTTCTATCACACTGGTTCAAATATTTTAGAATTCCTCTACATATTTGTGACTTAAAACTTTTCGTGTCATATATAATGTGATTCCATTTTTGTAAAGCTCAAAAATTATACAGGGTGCTGGGGATGTGGCTCAAGTGGTAGCACTCTCTCCTGGCATGCGTGAGGCCGGGGTTTGATCCTCAGCACCACATACAAAGATGTTGTGTCTGCCAAAAACTAAAAAATAAATATTAAAACATTATCTCTCTCTCTCTCTCAAAAAAAAATTATACAGGGTAAAATGTATTTTTAAGGAAAATTTCCTTTAGATAACATTATTTTGAAAACTTGGCAGTGTTTTTGATGGCATTATTTTATTTCATCCTAATATATCTTCCATCTATGAGTGTCCCATATTTTTTATCTATTAATTGTTAATGGCAGTCATTTGGGAAACTTTGTTTTTAGACAATATTTTTTTCCAGTCTGTTTTTCCATACCAGAGTATACCTATAAAAATCATAAAAGTATAGTGAATTTTTGTTACTAATAGACATTATAAATTACCCTTTGGTGCTGCAGACTCATCTGAGTCTTTTACGGAATAAACTATATAACAGATTTAGCAAAAATAAAGAGATCAGTAAACAAAGCGTTTTGTTCTTTGTCCTAAGTCATCATTACAGACTTGAGATCTTATAGCAATGAAACAGTGCTGGAATCGTGTTGCAGGACCCCGTTCTGCAGGTTTAATTATTAGTGACTTTTGAACAACAAAGTTTTTGGAACCACATATGTCTCTGCCTGTGTGAACTTTTTTGAAATTAGAGGTCTGTTGAAATCAATGACCCTTGTGTTAATAGAAAATATGCACTGAAAATATCAATATCTCTCTAAAACAATTACTCCATGTCTTATTCCTAGTAATTTAGAAAGAAATAAAATCAAAACTGTTAGTTTCAGTCAATTCTGTAGCTGCTTTTCATGTTGGCAAGAAAGACCAAGAAATTCTGTGCTTCTTCTTCTTTTTTTTTTTTAAATCTAAATAAATCCACATTATTTATTTGCTCTTGTAATTCCAAGCATATGATTGTTGCAAAGCATCCTATTCAAATGAATAAAAAGAGAGAGGAGAAAACTGTTTACTGGTCAAATTTTAGATGACTAAGGAAAAGTCATGCTGAATCTAGACTAATGTAATTGGCCTCAAATGTCAAAATGAGCTTGAACATAATTAGAAGCAAAGCAGACATCAGAACGTTATGCCAATTCCAGCAGCAAATTACTTTAAGTAGAGCTTACACTTAAATGTAATTTCAAGAGTAAAAGAAAAAAAAATGTTAGAAGCTCATTTGCAAAAACCAGTGAATCTTTTTCTAGTAATGAAAATATCTGTAGGTGTACCCAGTCATCTCTCTTGTTGGCCATGCTGTGGTCACTTTAAATGTAATACCCTAAATGATACTGTAGACAAGATCATGGATTTGTATAGTTTCCCAGGATTTCTGTTCATTGAAAATTAAATGACACGAACAGAGATACTGAACCAGGAAGAGTATTTGTGTGACTCTTAGCAGATGCCAAAGCAGATACTGGTCCATTATTTAATGTCATCTAGGTAATTACTCAGTGAAGAAGTTTCTGTAGGTGATGTAGACCCTACTGCAGATATAGAACTGAAGTTCCGAGGTCTTCAATGATTAACTCAGTCTTATTGGAAGCAAATGACATTGCTGTGTGTCCAGACTGGCATCTGTTGACATCAAATTCCTGATGTCCTTCTGGATATTGAAGGTAAGGGATATACTAAGATCTAAAATTGTTGATCTCTTTCTATTATCTAAATTATATTCTAATTAATGTTTTTATATCACCTTTGTCTAGCATACAAAGTATACATATATCTCTATATCTAGAGAGTATAACATATCTAGAACTCCATATCATGCTCCATTGATTGATGAAAAAATAGATACTTTCAGAACTTTTTGTTCTCTGCTAAATTAAACTCTCCTCATTAACAATTCTTCACATGAAAAAGACACAACCTTTTCATTGTAATGAAGTCTAAAATTGCAAAATATATTTTAATAAAATATTTTAGTAATTTGAGACTCAAATGTTAAAAGTTCCTTCATTAAAACATTTATTTTAAAAGAAAAAATATTAAGATGAACTAAATGAACTTACATTTTTCCCTTAACAATCTTTCTTGCAGAGCATGATATTTTTAGTTGAAAGGTATACTTCCCACCGATTATGTTAAAATAATTTTGAAACGCAACCATCTAGCTGACAGAACAAACAGCTGTGAAAATGAGACCTGGAGATTTATGCAAATAGGGGACTCCTGAATTAATTTTCTTCATAGAACAGACTGTCAGATTTCTTGGAGTATTTATGCCCTATTTCTTAATTAGTGATTTTGCTAATGTCAGTCATATTAAATTTTCATAATGTAAATGATGCATTTCCTTGGCAAATATGTGCTATAAGAGTGCAGATGAAAGTTGATATTTTACTTTTGGTGCAATACTAATTCAGTGATATATATATAAAATAGTGTTCCTAAAAACACAGATACATATCCTATTGTTAAATAATCTGAGGATTTATTAAAAGACTGCTATAACTAAAATACCACCCAATCTACCCAAGAAATTTCACTGTATTTTTTTAGTATTTGTATAACTATGCTCAAGAACAAGATTTTTTGTGTGTGTGTGTTTACTTACCTTTAAGTGGAAAGCAGGTTTGATCAGAGAAATACTTATTTTGTTGAATATTAAAGTAAACTTCATTTTAGATGTGTAGTTTGCCTATCATTACTCTCTTTGTAAGTATGGAAACTTGGCTACTGTTTTCCCTGCTTATTTTCTTGTGTCCAGTAAAAAGTGTGTTTAATTTTTAAAAGTATCACATCTGATATTTTGTAAATATCACCTAATTCCTGTCTTCTTTACTCCTATATTTTTATTATGTGAAAAAGTGACCTACATAATGAATTTTTTCTTCTAATCAATTAGTTCATGAAGGGCCTTATTGAAAATTATCTTGCCTGCTCTGTTGTTCTACAAACCTAAATTTCAAAGCCATCCTTTCTTCTTGATGGTGCTCATACAATATTCTGATATCTTGAAAATAAAGTTGATAGTTGTTTATAGTTAACTGAAATGATAAAATGGATTTTGCAAATCAAAGACTAAAATTAGTCTTACTATAAATGCAACTACATATGTATGTCTGTATACTTTTCTTTTAAAATTGTACTTATTCATGTATTTGCAATTTTTAAAAATCATTATTTTTCTGTGATATAACTGTAAAGATTTTTTATCTATTTACCCATATATTTCTGTTTTTAAACTAAGAAGTCATTCATTGTAGAAAATGTGAAAATACTAAAATGAATAGATAAAAAGTTACTCATAATTCAAACAAGAGATTGCATATATTTTTTAGTAATTGGTTTTAGAATTTGAATATTCCACCAGTTCTTTTTCTAGCCATTTAAAAATGTTTGAGACAAAATGGAATTCAGCTGCAAATATAGTTCTGTTTTATGCTCTTCTGGTTAACATTTTCTCATCATCATTTGTGACTTGTCTTATTAGTTGTAAAATATACTTTTGATAATGACACAATGTCATTATATGTCAAAATTTGTTTTGATGCTTCAGTTGGCTGGACATTAAGCCTGTTTCAAACTTGACAATAGCAGATAATGTAAAAGAGATTACATTATATTTTGTAAAACATCACCTATTCCTGTCTTCCTGCACATCTCTGGTCACCTTCCTATAGTAGATGTCTAGAAACACAATTACTACATCAAAGAGCAAAATGCTTTTTAGTGTTGGGTATATAAGAAAAACAGGGACTCCCAGAAGAGTGGCACACGTTTGCACTGCCACCCAAGCTCCTTGTCTGGCATCACTGTCAGCCAAAGCCAAAAATAACAACAACCTTTTTCCTTTGACATTTTCTTACTGGCACGGTAGAAAATTAAAGTTGTATTTTCATAGTTTCCTTTGTATTAGAAGGTAGTCATCGTCATTATTTTTTGTCTTGTTTTAAAATTCATATTTATCCTTCTTCCTTATGATTTATCTATTCTGTTAGTCTAGACAGTCCTTGACCATTAAGATTATGTTTTCTTTTTGCTCTCTGCATTTGATTACTTGAAATCTAACATAAAGGAGCTCTAGTAACCTCAACATAATCCCATTTAATAATTTTAGTCTTTTAATTCTTCATTGTGATACTTTTCTTTGCCATATTTTGTTTCAATAGGTATAGAGGCTTTCACCTGTCTGTTAACCCTAAATCATGCTCTTAATTGTAGCCTTCTATGTTTTCTTGCTGGTTCTCACCAATGATTGACAATGTTCTTTGCTTCTTTTTAAATGACATATACTATTTTTTGATGGAGTTTTGGATGATTATCTGAGATGCCAGTGGTATCTATGTAGGTGTATAGCACGTGTACTGTTCTCTATCCACCTATGCAAAGTTCTTATTACCCCACATGTGGAAAGTATTCCTGTACAGGAACTGTTTCCATAGAGAAGGATGCCCACTGGGGAAATATGGTTTTAGACTTCATCAGAGCTACTTATGCCTCCCCTGGGACGAGGATGCACATCCCAATCCCTGTAGAACTTGCATAAACACATTTACCTCCCTATCCAGGTATATATTTGCTAGAAAAATTCCAGTCAGACTTGCTCCTGAACTCCGGGAACATGCATGTCCTGATGGTGAGTTTTTGGGGTGTTTTGGGTCTCATTTTGTTCTCATCTTAATTTGGGTTTTATTTTCCTTTTAATTATTTGAAATAATTAATTTACATTTGACTTACTGTAATCCTTGTTGACTACATTATAGTCTTTTTAAACAAGGCAAAACACAATATTTATTTTTATCATTTACTGTTTATTTATAAGAATAATAACTTTTACCTGGTTGAATAAAGCAGAAAACATTCTTTCTTATGCTCTGAAATGACTTGATTTATCCCAAGAGACGGAAAATGTGGCATTTGTGTAAATTGTTAAGAGAATGCTCTTTTGGTGGTTCATATTAATATGCACACATTATTGCTAATTTTCTAGAGTTTTCTCAGAAGCTCGTCCAGTCCATCTCTTGTTGTCCTTTGCCCACTGTCTTTGTCTCATGGACTCTGAGATGATGGCATTGAGAAACAGAAATGACAACAGAACAAGCCACAGCCAAAACAAGAGCTGTGCTGCAGACCTAGGTCTGAATCAGCGGCCAGAGTGCTGTGTCCAGTCCCCATGTTCACAGCTCTTTTCCTTTTGTACTGCACATTTTAGGATTATAGGATACAACCCATTCACCTCACGTGCCTGGGGGCTCTCCTCTCCTCCCCATCCCATCTGCTCCCCCAACCCTGCTCAGCTATATGCACGCTCACAAGTGTGCACACCTACACTTTATCCCATCCTGTTTCCTACAAGTTTTAAAGCTGATTTATGAAGAAGCTATAAAGCAGTTGTCTGCAGGGGGTGGACAGCTCTGTCTTTCAGTTCATTAGGGATCTGAGTGTCACACCCAAGAAGTGTGTAGGAAGGAAGGAAGGAATCTCTTCATCAGTTATTGAGTAGTCCTCTGTGAAGTTCCCTATTGGAAACAGTTAATGACAAACTCTTTCAGATTCTGCCAATAACTTGGCAGCTAGTGTTATTTTTCTGATCTGTATATCTATATATCTATATTGCATTTTTGCAGAAATTTGCAAAAGTCTGACTAAAAAGAATATTCTAGACTCAAATCAGGGACTACTTTTAAAGTTTTAAACTTTTCATATAGTAGAAAAACAGAGTACCCACTGTTTAGTTAATTCCCCAATCATTTCTGGGAGGAACTTTGGTATGTTGAGTTATTTAATTTGCTTGGAATTTAGTATGCCATGACCAGAAGTTGGCTTTCTGTGCCATTTAAGAATGACACCAGCTGTTACTAGTCATTGACTGCAAGAACCGTGTTAACTAGTTCTTGTCTATTATCTCCTGTTTCCCTCCTAACAATCCTCTAAATGATGCATTTTTATCTATTGTTTATTGATGAGCTGTTGTAGGTAGCCATGAGAGAATAAAGAGTCCAACTATAAATAGTATTTTTCATAGATTGTATTTTTCTGTGGGCATGACTCAATGAAATACTTAATAATACATTCATCTTATTATCAGTGAAGATATATTTACTCATCCTCATAGGCTAAAACACAACTATTTCCCATTAACGGCTCTCTTTTAGTTTTGAGGTTGGTACAATAGAGAAGATGGATTTATTAAAATAATGTTAATATAATATGGCAATTAATGGTTGGGAAACTGCAAATAAGAATGTCCATAAGGTGATCAGAGGAAAAAAATGGTCCTCCCCAAAAGAAGACACTTCTGGGATTAAGGGCAGAATGTAACTATGCTTTGTCAAGGGAAATAATAATTCCAGTAACTGGTGTGCCATTGACCAATGATGTCAGCACAAAACAACAGGAAGAGACTGCCTTCTCCATGTGATTCATGCAGCATTGAAGTCACCCACTAAAAGATGCACAGAGTATTATCAGTGTGCCACTGATGAGTCACCACAAAAACAAATCCAATAAGAGCAACACACACACAACCCCAGCCCAATGTCACAACAACAACAACAAAAAAGAGCCTTTACAGCAGAAAAGAGATAAGGTTAATTTTAAAGGCTCTTTTGGGGCAGGAGACAGATGGCTACTTTAAATTTTAAACTAAATTGCTAGTTTTTTTGCACAG